TTTTATAAACAACTTCAGCATAATTATTAGGAAATATACTTTAGTCAGGAGAAAAGGCATCTCCTTAAACAGAAAAGCAGGCAGTTTTCACCACACTACACAAACCCAGACCATTCCTATGTAATATATAGATGAAGGAACTTGAATCTTATACGTCTGGCATTGGAAAAACACAAATGAAGTGTAGTGTGAATTGGGGATGGAAGGAGAGGGAAGTAGTCACATAATAACACTGCATTTTGGTGGAATTTGGGAAATAAAGAGTTTCCTTTGTAATTGCTACTTCTAATAACCAATTAAAAATGTATGATTGCTACAAGGCAGAACTGTTGTAACCGCAATTTTAATTTGCAAAGCACTTATCATATATATCACAACAGTATGACATAATTTAGGTCTACATTTTCCTTTCTCTATGGAAAAAATATAATTTCAAAGAAGTTACTGTAGAAAATGATGAACAACACATGGTTAGAATGTAAGGTGAAGGAGTTCTTAGAGATAAGATTATGAGATAAAGGTCCATGTAAGCACCTAGATACTTTAAAAGGTCATGAATTAAGTTATTGTTATGGTTGAGAAAAACACTTACGCTCTCATCAGTTTCACTGCCTGCCATGGAAGGCGAATCCTATAAAATAATGAAAAAAACATTTACTTTCCTATAAAAAGGAGTCTCACATGTTCCAAATTATGGAAAATTTAAAATAAAAGAATAAAAATAACAAACCACTTAGAATCTTCAATTTTACCTTAACCAGTGAATGTGCAAGGAAAGAAAAAAATATATAATTTTACCTGTTGCTTAAGCAGAAGAGGCTGGGAAAAAACCCTCCTTGCAAACATACTTTTTGTAAGGAAAAATTTTAGATGAAGTTCATTTGCAAAGTTAATCCTTCTTTATATTAAAAAATCCCATTATTTATACTTTCAACAGCTTCTGCATAAGTAAAGTATATAAAATAAAGGCACAAAATGTTTTCCTTTTGAATGAGCTAATGCATAAACAATGATGTAGTTACAGCACAGAATAGTCACAGGGCACAGTTAGCAGGGCTCCCTCCACTTGAGTTGTGAAAGGGTAAATTAAAGAGAAACAAAAGACAAACCAGCATTTCTGTGGTCATGGTCACTTAAAAATAACTGAAATCTAGAACTCAGTGCACATAATAACCAACAGAGCAAGCTTAAGCTTTTGGTGTAGGAGACAAATAACAATTACCTGGCCATAAGACTCGGCACCACTATATGCAGAAGATCCACCCTGTTCAGAAAACATAAACAATTCTCATATTGTGAACAGAATAATTCTCATATTGGGAATTTTTTTTTTTTTTGGACACTGACTCTAAGGATCCCCTTCTGGGAAGATTTTAAAAGTATGATTATCTATCTAGTTATAAGAATGGCTCTTGAGCAACTCCTGTCACTGTAAAGCACTAATTTAACATATTTTTTAACTCAAATTCTAATTCCACTTTTGAAGAGACCTTAATCTTCTAGGTAATTCAAAGCTATTATTATTGAGGAGAACAAGCCTTAAAGGTTGGAGGCACCCCACTTTTTACTCCCCTATAAGCTTTTAACTAAGTAGCCTGGAAGTATATACAAATTCACTCACTCCTCAAAGAAAAAGCTCACTTTCATTAAAATATAGTGAGAGGCAAAATACAGAATATAGCTGTGTATTTGACCCAGAGTATTTGCCCTCAGCACCCTTTACACAAGGAGAAAAAAAAGAGTACTTACCTGACCATAGGATTCACTGCTACCATCATAAACAGAAGATCCTCCCTGTAAAGAAAACAAAGAAAGCTGATTAATTTGGTTCCCTCGGGAAAGTGTTTTCCATCTTTCAAAGACAGAATAGGAATGAAAATAAAGAACTCTTCTGTCTCCACAAACAAGAAATAACACCTACCTGTCCATAAGATCCACCAGGAGAGAAGGAAGGTCCTCCCTGAACAGAAAACAGAAATTTACTGGTTTGCAGTTGAATTGTTCTCCCAAGGAATACTTTCCCACTGCTCCTGTGAAGATGCAGTGACCCGAATATTTACCTGGTTACCGGAGTAAGAACTGTGGGAAGAACCTGGGCCAC